TTCATTACAATGATTACAATCCCCTCCATGTACCATCAGTTAACAATATTTCTCTCTATTCACTTTAGCGTTTTGTAAATCATTTCTCTACATAGTAATGTTATTGGAAGTAGTATGCATCCCAAAGTACCAAGTACTTCTTTCTCTCTCATTGAGTCATCCTCTACCCCAGCTTTAGGTATCTTGTCCTACAGTGTCTCCCATGACTTAGTCAGCCTCTTGATCTTTGGCGATGAGTTCTCTTTCTAGTCTTCTTGGAGCGTATGCCTCGGTCTTGTGACAATTTCCTTTCCCAGCAAGCCCAGGTTTAACTGATCAGCCAGTCATTTTAGACTTCCCCATGCTTGAGTGGATTGGATCCACCTAACACTTAAGAAGTCTAGTGGGAGGGACAGATTAGCCTGGAATGGTAAGTCTTGGTGAAGCCAGAATCTAGGAGAGAGTGAGTGTCGTGGGAAGCTGTTAGGGAAGGGTTGGAGTCTACTCCTTGATCTAAGGGGTATTCGTGTGAAGTCATATTCACCAGTGAGTGGATCCAAAGAGCCTCCTGGTAGTGGAGCTAGGGAGTGAAGGACTGGAGGGGTGGAGTCTCCTTGAGAACTAGAATGGAGTCTCTCCTGGACAAGTGGTGCATGCATGTGGTGGCCCTTCCCATGACTCCCCTGGGGTCAGTCTGTGACTTTCTGGCTTCATTTCTAGGCTATATTCTTGGTGGCATGGGTTTTCTGACCCAGGCTAGAGAATGTGTGGAACTGGCGGGAGTGTGAGCCCATTCTCCTCCCTCCACTGCTCAGCCATTTGTCTGTGTGGGAATGGTGGCTCTCACAGGTACTAAAGAACCCAGACAATGTCTGTGTACCTCTGAAATCAGAAGGGACATTTTGGTATAAGAAAAGGGAGGCATTTATTACCCCCAAAGTTGTTCCATATGACACATTTTACCTTGGGGATAATCACATCCAAGGGCAGAGGTGTCTTGGTGTGGTGGGTGGAAGGAAGCGGTTGGAAACATGGGGCCTGTGATTACATGTGTCCTATAAATTTGAACCAGATAATCTCTAGAAATATCAGCGATTCCACATGGGCAGATTCCTATAGCATGAAAGTACAAATAAACCAGCCCTCCCAACCTTCTTCATAGCTCATGCCCTCAACAATTCTTTTCTGACTGCTAATGTGGTTTAGAAAGGAGCTCTGGTAGTGTAGTGTTTACGAGTTGGGCTGCCAACCTCAAAGTCAGCAGTTCGAAACTACCAGCTGTTTCGTGGGAGAAAGATGAAACTTTCTGCTTCTGTAAAGATTTATAGCCTTGGAAACCCTGTACAGGGTCGCTATGAGTCGGGAACGATTCCACAGCACATAACAACAACAACAACAACAATGTGGTTTAGAAGGCCTTCTTTGCCATTTTCTAACAGATGCAGATGAATAAAATTGTCTGACATTTTGTGTAAAAACCAATCCCTTTAGTAAAGTTATATCTAATTCACTTAACTACATATGCTTAGCAATGATGGTCAACTAGTAGACAAGTGCTGGTTTGGATAATGTCTTCATTACAACTTGTAATTCACCTGTTTGGATCTTTAGTGCTGGGAACTACACAGATACATTCCTGCTTGAAAAAAGTTTTCTCTATCCAAGTTTTCTGACTCTGGAAGAGCAAGAAGTAAAAATTAGACAAGTATATCCCCAAGCCATCATGAGAGTTCACTCTTTTGTGTTTATAAAATGACTATGACTTATTAGGAAGTTGGCTCATCACACTAGAATGATTGTTACTAGTTGCTATCAAGTCTGCCCTTGTTCATGACGACCTATGCACAACAGAACAAAACATTGTCCTGTCCTCAACCATCCTCATAGTCTTTGTTTCAGTCCATTGTTGTATCTATTGTATTACTTTGCAACCTAGGGGACACATCTTCAGCATTATATTGGACAACATTCAGTTGTTACCCATGGGATTTGCAATGGCTAATTTTCAAAGGTAGAAGAAACCAGGCCTTTCTCATCTGTCTTGTTGGGAGCACTGCTGAAACCTGTCTACCATGGGTGATTGTATGTGTATTTGATATACTGGTAGCATAGCTTCCAGCATCATAGCAACACAAAACTACCACAGTAGGACAGACTGACAGATGCATGGTGCGGCATTTGGATAGTCATCTCCAGTGGTTGATGTAAGTCTTTAAGGATCTTAGCTCTCATTTCTTTGAAGAGAAATGACTTGGATTCAGTGTGCATGTGAACAGATAGTGCAGTTACACACCTCCTTCTCCAACATGAAGCACCTTGGCTACCTGACCCTTTGCTTCCTTGCACTCAACTTGCCTGGTGGAAGCACCAGCAGTCAGTCATCCACGACGCAGATCTAGTAGCCAACTGGTGGATAATGGGATGGACAACAGTGCTAATACGACTTCTGTCATTTTTAAGTCATTTTAAACTACAGGCTTCAGTTACTTTTTAAAAAGAACTAGTATCAGTTGCAGTGGTGCCAATTCGGACTCATAGTGACACCATGTATGTCAAAGCAGAATTGTGTTCTTTTATTGTTTTTTTTTTAAAGAAACTTTTTACTGTGAATTGAGTGAAGGTTTATAGAACAGATTATCAGTTTTACATTCAGCAAATCATAAATTTTGCTTCATTACAATGATTAAAATCCCCTCCCTGCACCATCAGTTCACAGTGTGTATTTACCTCTGTTTCCACGAACTCTTACACTCTCTTCCCTGTATCTCCTATTAGCTTCATCCTTCCTCTGCCAACTGTCCTTCGTGTTGTGTATTGCCTGCCTCATCGCCCATGGTTAACATGTGCTAACAGTAATAATTTCCCACACCCCTCCAATTCCCACACCCCAGTAGCCATCATAGAATGTTTTAGTTAGCAAGAAAATATTTTCTTAACTTTTTGCAAAAGTGGTCTCATACAATATTTATCCTTTTAGGATTACCTAATTTCACTCAGAATAATGTCTTCCAGGTTCATCCATGCTGAGAGGTATTTTTCAGATTCATTATCATTATTCTTCAATGTTGCCTAATATTCCATTGTGTGTATGCACCAAAGTTTGTTTAACCATTCTTCTGTTGATGAGCATTTAGACTGTCTCCATCTTTTTGTTTTTGTAAATAGTGCTGTGATAAGAATGAGTGTGTACCTATTTATGCTACAGCTGTTTTACTTGAAGTTATATACCAAGTAGAGGGATACATACAGTGTTTCTATTTCCAATTTACCGTTTTTCACAGTGGTTGAACCAACAGTGTAGGAGAGTCCTAGTTGCTCTACATCTTTGTCAGCACTTGTTGTTTTCTGGTTGTTGTTGTTGTTTTTTTTAACCTTTGCTGTTAATGTTGGTGTGAGATTATATCTCATTGTTGTTTTGCTTTGTATCTTTCTAGTGGCTAATGATTGTGAGCATTTTCTTATGGTTGTTGGCTGCATGAATGTCTTCTTTGGTGAGGTGTCATCTGTTCATATCCTTTGTCCATTTTTAATTGGATTATTTGTCTTTTTCTTGTTGAAGTATTGAAGTTTTCTATAAACTTTAGAGATCAGTTCCTTGGCTAATATGTCACTGTAAAAACATGTTTCCCAGTCTGTGGATTCTCTTTTAGTAAAATATTTTTATTTAGAAATAAAGAGTGTCTAATTTTTAGGAGAGTTCAGTCATCTATTTTGTCTGTTGCTGTTTGTGTGTTTGCAGTGATGTTTGATATCATATATTAAAGCCCCTAGTTTGGTCCCTATTTTTCATTAATGATGTTTCTAATTCTAGGTTTTACATTTAGGCCTTTAGTCCACATTGTTAGTTCATTTTTGTATATAGTGTAAAGATATGGGTCTTGTTTCATTTTTTTGTAAATTTATTTCTAGTTTTTTTCCAGCACCATTTGTAGAAGAGACTATCTTTTCCCCCATTGAATGTCCTTTGGCCTTTTGTCAAAGATCTACTGATTGTAGGTGGATGGATTTACTTCTGAGTTCTCAGTTATGTTCCATTGATCTATGTATCTTTTGTTGTGCCAGTACCAGGCAGTTTGGACCACTGTGGTGGTTTTGAGATCAGGGAAGCAAGAGACCTCCCACTTTGTTCTACTTTAGTAAAGCTTTGCTTATTCAGGGTCTCTTTCCTTTCCATATAAAGTTAGTGATTAGTTTTTC